ATTTTTCTTATTTATTGAAATGTTGTACCCACCAAACGTAAATATATAAAACAACATAAATGCTTCTTCCCATCCCCTTCCCACCCTTAAATGCCTACCAGAAGATATCTCAATTATCTTTATACTTGCGAATAGGTTCCTTCAAGGAAACGAGCTAGAGACAATAGGTGATGGTGTTTTAGAACAATTTAAAACGCTCGAATTATGGTAAGTGATTAAAAAAAAAACTTACATAAAACAGGTAAAATGGCAAAGATTTCGTCAAGGAGCAGATTTAAATTGGCGCAAATAAAGAAAGATTTTTTAGCATGGCATAAAAAAAAACCGTCACTCGTTGCAACGCGTCAATTTTGTTTCAGATAACACATATGCGATTACGACTGCTAAATACAATACAAGTTACGATGGGAAACAAATGAAAAGAATTCGAAAAATACAAAAACACCGAGGAAGTAAACATTACAAGACAAACACAAAGAAGGAACGTTTGTGTATTGATCAGGGCTCATAATAACTCCTTTGTATTTTTTTGGTTGCTGGATCGTATAGGTCTATGGACAACAACAAGCTGACATCTGTACCAGATTTGACTGGTCCGAACTATACGATTAAATTGTAAGTCGCTATTATGCCTTTGTCATACATGGCGCCGTTTTTGGTGTCATGCGTCGAAACAAATCTTATCGTATGCATTCCTTTCGAGCAGCAAGGTGATCGTGTTGGCGATACAATTAACTCAAGATGAACTCGTCTCCACGACTAAACATGTAACGTTTAAATAAAAGACAATTTCAAATACATTCAAGAGCACCGAATATAGAGATCTTCTTTATATAACTGCAACTTGTTATTTCAACTCCGACAAAAAAAGAAAAATCCCATTCCTAAAAAATGTCTTCCTTCCACAAAAAATTCGAATTTAACCTTTAGCCGTGTTCACAAACTAAAGAAGAAACCTTCGTGAGAAATAAACCGCAATCTTGTCAAATCTGGTTACCATGACGTCATTTTTGTTGATGGTTTCTTCAATAAAAGCGGCGAGGATATTTGTTTTCGAAACAGCAGAAATTCTGGCATCTACTATATATCTATGTATTAACACTGAAAACTTGAATCAATCTATCCAATGATCAATCCCTCTATTTATCTATCTCTCTAGAAAAGTGACAGTATCGACTAAAATAAAAATAGAAAAAAAGTTAGTGAGACTGAACGTCATGCATGTGAGTGTGGCCAAACATGGGTGTTTTTTTTTTTTTTATCATCTTATTGAACCAGAACAGGAGCCCATTACTTGGAGCGTTCAACTCCCATACTGGACCTATGTAACGGCGTTTTCACAGAACGGTTTAATTTTAAACTATCTTTTCGCGGAAAATAGGCTACTCGAGCTCACTTGGGTAATAAGATCCATGTAACGCGAAGAAAAAAAATGGCGTCCCTATGCGGGGACGTCTTCATGTCAAAACTACGCAAATTCCTCCTTTCTTTTGCTGTATTCCAGTATTCCAATCCTTCCTTTCCATATATTACTTTATCCTTTGCAAATTTTTCACACTTGCGAAAAAAATTCGCAGGAGCGCGGATCATCGTTGTATTTTTATTTGTATTTGTATTTTTTTTTTTCGTGTTCTTCTGATTCTGGCCCCTCTAAAGAAGATTTCATGAAAAGAGTCCAAATTCCAGACGATGAAGAGGCGAAATGCCAGCGATGATGGAGAGCGCGGAAACAAGAAATTGCGTGAGCAAAGCTGTGTGCGAGTTGTCTTCATCTCAAGAATCTTCATCCACACAGTCCGTAAAGGAAATTTTGCGACGCAGGACTGAACAGAAGCGGGTGCAACAAAATGATGAGCGTTTTTCTAGATCGTAAGATAATGCTACTTTTTCGAATGGGCTTCGATCTTTTCAAATCTTGGTTATTTTTTGTGAAGTGTGGTCGATTATTGCTGCATGCGGCAAAATTCACGGTGCCCATTGTCGCTTTGATCATTGAACAGTCAAGAGTCAGGTTCACCTTCACTAGAAATTTCCTCGGAACTGCTGCTTCCCGAGGTACTTTCAAAATATTCACACCACAAGCGTTCCGAGCTTACTGTTATTCCTGTTATAAGACGAGGTCAAGGCTGCACACTTCGATTTCGACCGTTGTATAACAGGAATAACAGTGACGGCAAAGCAAGCTTAAAATGGCAGTGAACGCCGGAAACCACAACGGACACAAAAGATGTGAGTAAATTCTATTGATTTAACGTGTAAAATGTTCATATTTCGAAATATTTATCGTTGTAAATCGACTACATTTTGTTCCCCGTGCTATTCCTTATTACATGTTCAAATTCTCAACAGTTCCTCCCGTAAATTAACACCGAGTCACACAACATATGACGCTTTCATAAATTAATCGTTTGCTTTTTATCTAGACGTGAGCTTGGGACGCCTTTGTTCACACAAATCTGCACACTAACTATCGCAAGAAGCATTGCACCTCTCTGCTGTTTTTCTTTCGATATATTAACGAGTAAAATTAGAAATTAACCATCTTGATTGGTCGATGTGCTCTCGTGGGGAGTCCTAGCTCGCGGTAAATTCAAACTAAAAATAGATTTGTCTTTAAAAACGCCGTGACAAAAATACAGGGCAGTTGAAGGCTCCAAGTGATGGGCTCCTGACCAAAATTTAACTTAGCACAGGAGAATATATTCTCTCGATCAGCATGAGCAATTCGAACTTCACTTGATTAGACTCTTATGTTCGTCTCAGACGTTTAGGACACAATCGAATCACAGATTTATCGAGAATGGTCACATCTGGAGTTGGACAATTTTATAAACTGTAAGTATTTGATCTACATTAAACTGAATGTTTCATTTTAGGTTATTTGCCATGAAACCAGCTTCTTTTCCTCTGGATGCCTTGGGTTATATTCAAGTATGCTTAAGCTCTACTCACGCTTGAAAATGTTGTTTTATTTTGTAGATTTTTGGACAACAATGAGATCGATCACCTTCCAGAAAACATTTTTCAGGATATTCTCGTATTCGGAAACCTGTGAGTAACAGAAACTACAACTGTAACCGAAGTCACGCGTAATTGCTTCCATTATTTAATTAGAAACTTTCACACGCCTACGGTACTAAACATGAGCAGGAAAATACATATTAGAGAACGAAAACTTATAAACAAACTAACAATAAAGAAAAAAGACAACGCTGCTCCATAAAAAACTGACAAATTACCTAACATAATTATATAACATTACGCAAAGGTGCAAACATCAATCACATGTACACAATACAAAAAATGAAACCAATAGACATTGACAAGTAACACGCGAACTCAATACACAACAAACAGTATGACAATAAGTTTCGCGATGAAAACAACCATGATGGAGCTGTGACTGTGTTTGGATAGTGTTACACAAAAAAGAAGCGCCACTTGATGTACAGAAAATACTTTATGTACTTTAATTGGGGATGGTTCTTCTTTAAACCCATTAACCCCTAACACTGACCTGCAAATAATTTCTCCTCACGATATTAGCCCATAATCAAACATAAAGGTCGTGAGAATAAAGGAAATGATCACAAATTCAGGGAGTTCATATTTTTGAACAGATTATCCTTGTCAGCATCTTAGGAAATGTCTAGAGAACAGTATAATGTCAGGGTGTAGAGGGTTAAATACGGCTTCCTTTAGGATTTTAGCGTCTATTTTCTTCACGATAACTTCTTTTTCTCGTCTTTCCATAGTGATTTGTCGTTCAACAACTTGCAGTCATTACCTGATAATGTGTTTGCTAAACTCAATCAATTGAACATTCTGTAAGTAAAAGGTGAAAACCAATGTAGAAAGTAATCAGCTCTCTTGTCCCAAATGGAACAATTCAATGAATTACTAGTCAGGTCGAGATTGCCGCTCCTCAAAACGTTTAACTTCTTAAACAACTGAGTGTGTAACCCAATATAGAATGAGTGTCTTAATTTTCTAAATGTTGGGGACAATCCTTGTTACTTGCCACCAAAAAGTTTGAAATAAATGCAATTCTTTTTTTTTTCAAAGGCAGGCTACTCGTGACATCCTTTTTTCCTGAAAAACTTATTGCAATTTCTAAGTGATGAAAAAACACCTATATTAAATGTAACAAACGAAATTGGACATAATATAGAATTTCATGAAGGTTTATTTCCAGCGGCTCAGATAATAACCCGCTCCTGTTCTATGTTTGATATCTCAGGAGTGTTATATTTTTCCTTGTTTTTAGGATGCTAACCTTCAACAGGATCACTCACATTAATAAACACACATTCAGTGGACTTTCCAGTTTGACCACATTGTAGGTGTCCTCTATATATTTTTTTAAAGAGGCGTAGGTGAGGGGTTTAAATATCGTTTTTCATAAGCAGCTTAGAAGGTATAGTAGTTGTATAGTGGTTTTGTAGGTGACTGTGCTCGAAAAAGAGGCCTTTAAGCCCCTTTCCTCTAGGGGAGTCAGGGGTCATTGTCCCCCAGAAAAAAAAAAATTTGAAATCTAGAGCTCGAAAGTATTATTTCCACCATTATGAACATCAAAAAATGTACTTTTTTATAATCGTCATCGACACCTTTGTAATTTGCAAGCTATTCCAGACCAACCAGAATGCTTCGCTGTAAGGTAAGAGGTCTGACGGACAGCGGTAGATCATCAGTTAATTGCTTTTACTGAAAGCCTGTCAGTACATCCACTTTAGTGTAGGAAATAAGAGAGTCGCTGTGCTGCATGTAAAAGGGTTTTTAGTCAGTTATATAAATGATAGTGTATCATTACTAATTACATGATAAGATATGAGTTTCATTTATGAGTTGCTTCGGTTTCTAAGATATATCCAGGTTTCCGTTAGTCAGAAAAAGGGTTATTTTTCTTCTTTTCTCAATCAAAAACACTTTTATTAAGAATTAAACTACTTTCTTGCAATCAAAATTATTTTGATTGAGAAGAGAAGATCACCGAAACGTAATTTTTTTTCTGTAGGCTTCTTCACAGTAACGCAATCAAAACTATTGAAAGCAAGGCTTTTGATGGACTTGTAGTGGAGCAGTTGTGAGTAAATTTACGAATTGACTGATTCCCTTTAAAGCTCTGAAAAGAAGACAAATTTTATGAGCTGAACGTTTTCTTGTTTCTTGGGTCGGTTTTAGAAGAAAAGAACAAACATATTTAAAAATAACCCCACCCGCTATTTCTGACCGCTGATATCGGGAGCTTTTACAATGTCTATCAAATCGTTTCTTGTGTAATGAGTACATATTTTATTTTCAGAACCATATTTGATAATCCTTTCAGCTCATTACCAGATGGAATTTTCGACAAAATGACAAACCATACCAAAGTGTAAGTCAAGCCGTATGGCTTAAACACACGTCATATAGTATTTAACCAGAAACTGAAGTTAGTAGTAGACTTCGAGATTATACTCACTCCAAGATGTACTTTGTATATTCTCCAGCTAACCTGGAAACTACCAACAGCTAAATTCTATAAGTTATCATAATCATTTTCAAACACACCTAAGAACACGAGACAAAATGACGTATATTTACCAAAAGGCGTGAACACCCTAAAAGCAGAAAAAACCTATTAGTATTATTATCATCTTTATCATCATTTTTATCGTCGTCGTCGTTGACATATTCATCATTATCGTTACAGTTATTGTGTTGTAGCTTTATTGGTATAGCCTATCTCGGGTCGGTTTTCGTACCCTCAGTACTTCTCACTTCGAGTAATTTGAGGGGAGGAGGGGAATTATCGGGTAATGGTCTGTCACCCAATCCGAACGAAGAAGCAAAACCTCAAGTCACTCAAAGCTATGGAAACCTAAGTTTGTTTTGGTGACGTGGGCCTTTTGACTAATTACTAATTACCATCATTCTCATAATGATCACGTTGTCTTTTACATCCAATCAGTTTCGATTCAACTTATTCATAATCAAGTTGTTTACAGGTCATTGACGTGTAAAAATCTTCGTCAGCTACCTCGGGGAAAATATGTGTCACAGATGTAAGTACGCCTTTTTTTTTTTTTTAATAATTTTTTTTCTTATACACCCTATAAAATCAGCTTCAACATTTTCCATTGATCTACACTATCGATTAAGCGGCTTCTTTGACTTAAAAAATTTTAATATGTGTAGTTATTAAAAGTTAGCCGTAGCATAAAATAAAGCCTTTCTTGGTATAGTCATGATACACTGCAAGTCCCAAAAATTGCTCAAGTGTCGTCTCTGCAAGACAACGTCGTCCAGTGCTAATTCCCCCCTGGCCTCTGTTGCGCCAAATTTATGACATGAATCTAAAATATGATGAATGTGGCAATTTTTTAAAGCTCACATTTCGTAGAGCGCTTTTAACTATTAGCACTTACCAGAGATGATCTCAAGGTTAGAGCGAATTCGGTCCTGCGCTTCACTGGGTTTAAACCTACCTCAAAATCCAATGTGAGCTTACGGGTTAATTGTCATCTCATTTCCAGGTCTCTCTTCTTATGGGGGAACTAAAACTTTTTTTCCAAGCGAGTATTTGATTTATTTTTATTATCCAATTCTTAGTGAGTGTGCTCCCTCGACATCTCTGTACTTTATTTTGGACAACGAGCTAAGTAACTTCAGATTTGGCTTTTCACGCTCAGGTTTTGTCTGCCACGACTGTGCAACTTATAAAAAACAAACTTTATCAAATATTTGTAAAAACTGCAGTCTCTGTCCAGTTGGTACCTACATGTATACTGATGAAAACCGCTGTGTAGATTGTCCTGCAGGTAATGAGAATGAACACCTATTTCATCGTTAATCATGGTAAAAAATTATATAAATGACAACATATGAGCGCTGTCTCTTCAAAGTATCCAACAGCGCTTTATATCATAATACTGAAAGTTATTTGATAAAATTATGAAGAATAGGATATAAATTAAAAATATATTTCAAGGAAAGGTCTAAGCCACTTAATTCAACTTTACACTATGTCAAATAAAAATTCGTTTAAAAATAAGGGCCTTAGGCTTAAATTTAAACGCCCTAACGACTTGCTCCTCCTCATAACCCATGGAAGAGGATTCCATAATACTGGTGCATTATATGAATAAAGCTATTTGACCACACAACCGAAGATTGTATATTGGTGTTACAAGTAAACTTTAAAAGAGGATTGCAAGGTTCTTAAAGCTCCTGTGAGTAAATAGGAGCCGTATCATTTGACGATTTGAAAGTTAAAAGTAGAGTTTTATAATCGCTCTGCTCGGCCGCTGGAAGCAAATGTATCTTTCTAAACTTTCTCAATATTATAACCAAAAGCAGGCAACAAGAATAACTTAAAGATTGCACAAACAATAACATTTATAAAAATGTTTCTCCTATGTAATTGTGTTTAACGATGAATATCTCCCAACTCACCCGTGGAGCTGAATCTTTGTTTTATGATATGATATCTTCACAGGTGGCTTTTATCAGGATGAAATGGGACAAGTTGAATATAAGAGATGCAGTAATGGTACCTTTGTTTCTGAACAGCAAAGTCCTGGAACCACAGCTGCCGACTGCGTGGCTTGTCCATATGGTAAGTACAGTGTTCGCTTTGGGCAAACTTCACCTTTTTCGATTAAAATAAGCTCTGGGTGACACTGAGTTTTAATGAAAGAACTGTCACAACGACGTCTTTAACACATAGCAGTCATTGTCATCAATTTTGGTTCTCACATTATCTACACAGAACAAAGTCAACTGGAGTGGACTATCAGAAACTCTTTTTAGACAACAGAAAGATGAACACAGATTACTCGCTTAATTTTAGTTGTTGATGTTGCTATTTATTTTAAGCGAAATCCAGAGATATCTCGTTCTAAAGTATATCCCTTTAATTCACTAGTGAAATCTTATTTCTTGGTTGACTCAGAGAATGAATTCGTGAACAAGCCTTTTGACGCATGCTTTATTATTATTGCTAAGAAAGGAAAAATTCCTTCCCAGGTACGATCTCCAACGAGACTGCTGAATATCGTGCATGCAGATGCCTACACAACTTCTATCGGTTAGATCGTTTTGGCCCGTGCTCAGCATGTCCGCCAAACGGTTTTGTTTGTAAGAAAGATACAGCAATACTTGCTCCTGACTACTTCTGGAAATGGACAGACCATTCTGAAAAAGAACGTTTCAGGGGTTTTGTTAACAATATTCATTCTTTTGGACCAGACTACAACAAGTCATATACCACGTTCGATACTTCACTTCCGAAGCCACTCAAATGTCCCCATGCAAAGTCCTGCAAGGGTGGAATTGACTCAGAATGCCATCAAGGATATCAAGGGACTTTGTGTGCAACCTGCTCTGAAGGATTCTATTTTCGCTTCAACTCTTGTTTGAAATGTCCCCGGTTACCTGTAACAATAACTTCATCCATCTTGGTAATTGCTCTTTTTGTTGCTGTATTTCTAATGGTTCTGTGGGGTGACTCCAAACGTGCAGAGGACAACCGGACAGTTGCAGATGTTATCATGTCGTGCTTTAAGATTGTGATTGGTTTTTACCAAGTTATTGCCGGTATTTTCTCGGCATTGGCGAAAGTCCAGTGGCCAGTCATTCTGATCTCAACGGAGAAGGTTCTAAAACTGTTTGAAGGGAACATCTTGCAGTTTGCCCCTCTAAGTTGCATTCATACTTCTCTACGGCTTGATGAGCTTGGAAAGTTCACGATGATTGTTGTTATGAATGTCTCACTCGTTGGCTTGATTTTCTTGTATCTCTTTCTTAAAAAGCGCTACATCATGAATAAGGAGGACCTTGGCGAAGACCAGAAAGTAATGGAAGTTAAGAGTCTGAAGAAATCTTGCTATCGGAACATTTTCCTATTGTTGTCGGCGACCTACCCTACGACGAGCAAATCGATTATTCAGATTATACCTCTTCCTGGTGCATGTGTAGAGACTTGTTTCACAGACGACAAGAGCGACTGCATCTTCCTGCTGAGAGCTGATCACTCCGTCCAGTGTTTCACTCCTCGCCACAGCTTGTATTGGCTCATGGCTTCAATTTTGGCATTATATCCCGTGGGATTTCCACTTCTGGCTCTGTTTCTCACTTACAAGTATCGCGAGTCCCAGGAAAACGAAGCGATTTCTTTCGGACTCAGAGTGTTCTTTGAAAACTATAAGAAGAAATTTTGGTTTTGGGAAATTACCGAGATGTATCGCAAGCTGATTCTAGTCTCGTTGATTTTTCTGTTTGGATCAAAGAGCCTCTCTCAAATCGGTCTTACACTTCTGACAGTTAGTGTCTTTGGAGTTACCTACACCTTATTCCGACCGATCAAGAATAGGTTTGAAGACTGCTTGCAAACTTTTGTTCTTTGGATCATTTTCTTTGACGTTTGTCTTGGTGCTGTTTACACAAACTGGGATGAGAGTCAAGGAGAGGGCAAGAACGACTCCATCTTTGTAAATGTCCTGTTCGTGGTCCTTAACGCCTCTGTACTGTTGGTTGCCATTGGTAAGTCACCATGCTGCTCTATTTTATTCAATGTGCATTTTATTCATTTGCCAAATAAAAAAAGGAAAGATAGCGTGGATTGTGGTGGTTTTCTCAATTCCTCAGATTTTTCGTTTTCCGCGCAGTGAAAGGATAAAATCATAAAGTAGCCATATCCTGGTTATTTAGGATATTTGACTCTGCATAACACTGGCTCACACAACTGTAACCTTAAAACAGATCGCGATGTTCAGTCAATTCTTCTCTCAGCTTAACTCTTACTGTAAGTGGAACTTTTAGACCTTGTTATCCTGACAGCTGAGTTATTTTCGCTATTCATGTCCTGTAGTGTTCCAACATTAGAAAACTGCGAGTTACAGATGGAGTATGATGAATATTGAGATCCTAGAAAGAAATCCAAACCACTGTGCTAACGAAATGTCAACACCCATTCTCAAAACGCTTCTTAGCTAGAGCGAAAACAAAGACAAATTTCCGAAAAAAGGGACACCTTACCTTTTTTAACGCCTTCGTGCAAGATTTCAATTACATCTATAAACGATAAACTCTGTCTTTTTTTTCTACCTTACAGGAAAAGGAATTCGACACGTGAAGTCAATTTGGAAGTACATTACCTTCAACCCGATCCGATGTTTCATTTTCCTTTGCGAAGGAGTATCCCGTAGAGTGGTCAAAAGAACAGGAACATCCGATGAACTTGCATACTTCATTGAAGAAAGCAACTGAAGAACTTCATGAAAATATTTGTCTTAAAACTACTTTTCTATGGCTGATGAAATATCTCGCTTTAAATGGCTTAAACATTTAGAACTTTCGTTGATATCTCTCTGGCTATTGTGAGACTTCTGGATGACATTTCATTGTAACTAAAGGCACTATGGCGGCTCCCGCAAAGGCTGTGTTATTCAAAACGCAAAGAGTAATTCTTCGAGTCTTTAATTTAATTGAGATAATAAATTAGTTTTTTAAATAATAAGACAGATTATTTTTTAGTCAAAAAATGTAATAATAGCAACGTTCTGGTTAGTTAAAAATTTGAACCCCTGGCACTTTCGAGCATTTATGACTTTGACGCATCATATATGTTTAAGTAATAAAGCACACTTTCTATCAGTTAGCCGGGGTAATGGCTTCTGAGTTTATTTCTCTCTTTGAATTTTTTTCATCAAGTCATCAGAGACCTTTATTGGTTTGAAGCATATGAAAACCAGAAATGGCGTGGTACCTTAAATTTGGACAAATTCAGGACTGTACCATGGATATTAAATAAGCACGGCTTTGCTCTTTTTTTAAAACTTTCTCTATGTTCAACCTCACGCCACTAGTCTGCTCTTTTTTAAAACTGATTTGAAAAGGTTTACTTTCAGATCAGTATTTTTCCAGTGCCTCGTTGATTAATTAAACCTCGTGGAGGCTAAATATTTTTCTCCTTTTACAACGAGCCAGATTTTTCCCCTATGTCTTTTCATCGGCGGCAGTAAGGAAATGCGTTTGGGGATGAATTGAGGAATGTCGCAGTCTCGGCTAGTGGGTATAACAGATAATGTTAAAATGCATCATTTTCAATCACTATATCAGCCAAGGAGGTTGCGATGAGTATTGAATTACAAAGCAAAAGCACGCTGGTGATATACGCCACAGTTCGTGCCATACGCTTCATGCGTTTTTTTTTTTCCAAAGTTTGCGGCTGTTGCGTGGAACAGCTTTCACTGTCACGCGCGTTAATATCGTTTTGACTTTGCGCGTGTGAATTGATTGCGGGAGTGGAGCTATTATATTGTTAAGCAATATGAAGAAGAAACACGAGAAGAAAGTGGAGAAGAGACAGTGTTTTCTTGCTGAAGCTATCGTAAATGTTTTTATAAAAATGAGATATCATAAATATGATTTTAAAAAACTGTTTAATCTAGAAACGTTTGACCGCTCTCATGTCCATGGGGAACGAGCATCAAAAGCACACACTTTATGATAGGAATAAAATATTTCCGCACTTTTGTAAATAGTGCGATGAAAGTAGAAAATAGATCACAGCATGCGCTTATCACAAGTCTCAAATTTCATATGGAAAGTTAACCTCGGTAAAGAAATATAAATTAGTTTGCCTTTTGATGAGGAAATGACTTTTTAACGGGTCGGCAATGATAACCATGCAGCTGTCATGAACTGCACTGAGACATCGCGGAATCACGATATATGGTGAGCGTTCGACTGCATTGGGATTATTCATGAAGTTTTTCATGAATGGAAAAAGCGCTCATCCTCTCTTTTCCTTTCCAATCAGCACACACCACCGAATCTAAAGTAAGCTATGCCATGCAACAAATTAAAAATCACTGAAAAGCACAAAGCCTTCCGCCTTTATTTCATCTGCAACAAACGGCCCTATGCTGCGAATATGGATGATATTTTGTCACGAAAAATTTTTTATCTCCTTTGAAACGCAGGACGTGGTGAACTCTAAGAGTATTATTTACTGAGCATTACTTAAAAGAATGATTTTAATCATAAACCGATAGTACTCCCACCGAACAGAAGCCGAAAAAAGAAAAACTCCTCTAATATAAAGACAAGGTAGTCGATATGGTCGCATAGTCAGTACTTTCAGGCTTTTCCTTGCTTAATTATTCGGAGCGGTGATTAACGCAAGGGAGGTAGTACGCGCACTAAAAGCGAAAAAATTAAACAGCGGACTAGATTCCCTCCAAAGGTTCGTGCTTAAGAAAATAAATGTACAGGCAAGTTAATTTTTTCGGTCAGCAGATCATAAGGAGGTGTATCTTTAAGCGTCATACAGTATCGAGAGTTTTACGAGTGAAGTTTCAAGGCTTGTGTTAGAAGTTTTAATAAACATAAACAAAATTATCAGCGCATGGACCACCGTGGAAACGCAATAGTTTCACTTATTTAACTTTCCAATTGTGATAACTTTTTTTTGCCAAATTTAAACTACACATTCCAAATATACCTAGTCGAGAAGATTTCTCGTTGGACATTTTTACATTGTATTCTTTATTTCAATATTTTATCATGTGAAATCTGCTAAATTTAGCTAGTTTTTATTGTGTAACCTTTTCACAATTTCAGTATTTGTAAAAGGAAGGAACATCCAATTGAAAAAGAACGTGTTGAGGCTTCAAACTCAACTTGAGAAGTGTCAAAAATATCTGACTTCTACTGAAAAAAAGGAAAAACAAGTCAGACACAAGCTAAGGGGGACAAGATCTGCTTCCTCAAAACTGAAACAGAAATTGTAAGGCAACAGTGAAATCGCCAAAAAGGGGTATTCCCACAAAGGAAGAGAAGAGAGGCACATAATGGGTGTTCAGACCTGGTGTCCAATAGAGAGCAAGCCAAGAGCTTATGTCCTTGCAAACAGCCTAAGAGGAAGTGGGAAAACACCAGTCTGATGTAGATTACCATGTTATAAAAAATGAACATGATATTACCGATGTTTCGGGGTTGGTTGGGGACAATGCCTTTACCCAAAAGGGAAAAGTAGACGGCCTTTTAGCTAACAACGCCAGAATTTTTGGAAAGGAGATATTTTTTGTAGGATGCTACCCACATGTACCAAACATTATGCTGAGAAGAATGTGCCAGGCCGGGTTTGGGGCCAAGGGTGACATGAGCAACCCGTATGTTTTAGTTACTCTATAAAATATCTTGGCATCATCATAAGCGTCCAAGCTAATACAAGGTTATTTATATTTCTCTTGGTATTCAAAGTAAAAAGCCACCCCTTCCTCAGACATTAATTGACACAAGGTGGACATATTATCATGAAACTCTCCAGTGGTATCTTAAGTATGAAAAAGCCTGTTTAGAGTTCGCTGAGCGTCTCCTTCAAAGATTGCCAAAATCAGATAGGCACCAGACTATTTGGTAAGATGTCATTAAGCTGAGCTCCAGTCCTATGATTCAAGTTGAAGTCAAGTTTTTGTTTGAACCCCTCGATAAGGTTATCATCCCGTCTCTGAATACATCCCAAGCTAATGATGCAGAACTTGGATTCTCCAGTGGTTACCTAGCAAAGTTATAGCCAGGAATTGTTTTGAAGGACCATGAAACTTTGAGTAAAATGTTGATATATTTTCCTTTAACACCACAACAGGTGGAGATGGACAATAATTGAGAGCGTTATCAGTACACCTGACGGACAAGTTTCAAGACTCGTGCAGCTGGCGGTGTTAAAAGTGTGGAACTACACCACGTCCCACATGTCTGCACAGGTTACGCCGTTGCCTGCACATGAGGAATAGAGTAGTGATGGGGGGTGGCTCAGTAATGTTTAGTCGTTTAAGATTTGTACACAAGAATTAATTTCACTGATCCACACTGCATGAAATAAATATATCTCAGCATGAATGAGTTTTTATACACAGAGACACATCAAATAATTAATGTTTCAAAACAACGTGTTAGAACTAACTTGGTAAAAGGACGTTGTATATGCCATTTTAGTAAAGTGAACAAAGCTTAATATCTTAATGCATGTACATGTAGCATGTTAGTTTTTTGGTTTGCAATATTGCAACTTATCAAGTAAGGGAGGGATCTTTATAAGAGTGGCAGTATAAGCTTTGTAAGTAATCAAATATACGTCCTTTCATATCTCAACCAGCATTTTGGAGAATGATTTTGGAGAACGACGAGGGCAATGAGTTCGTCGGTGTAATTACGGTCAATAGTTACCCTCGTTAAATGAAGTCTAATACTACTAACTACTTGAGGAGGATAATTCAGTATTATCAACTCAGTTGATTACGTAAATTGGCCACCGTAATAAGGAGTCTCAAAGCTGACGTTTCGAGCGTTACCCCTACGTCGTTCGCTATGAAGAAGGACTAACGCTCGAAACGACAGCTGTGAAACTCTTTACGGTGGCTAATTTACGATATCAACTCAGTTGATGATACGAAATTACCCTGTTTTACTCTCCCACCGACGCAGCATTACAGTTTATGAAGAACTTACTCCCTTTACTAAAGAGGGCTTTGAGGTTTTCGGTTTGGGGGTTTTCGGTCATTGCGGTTTTTCGGTTTTGGCTATTTTTTAGATCGGGTTTTCAGTTTTTGCGCTGAATAACTGGGTTTTTTATTTTGGTGTCTGTATCAGTTTGCGGGTTTTCGTTTTTCTGGCAGTTGGTTTTCGGTTTGCGGAAGAAATGCCTGCGATTTTTCGGATTTTATATCCTATTCGGTTTTTCTGGAATGGTAACTGCAGTTTTGAGGATTTCTCAATTTCGAGTAATGTGAGGACCGATAAGTTGGTCCAGATTTTGGGCCTTAATTTGGTGCAAATGGTTGAAAAGTTTAGAATTGGCATCCTGAATCTGGGCATAAATAGATTATACTAAAACAGGTCGACAGATTTTGGAAAGTCCAGAGCGGCAATTCAGAATTTGTTCTTTAAGTTCGTTACGTTTCTCCGTTTAAGTGTCAGCCATTTTACGGCTAACAGTTGACTCCATTCCGTTTTGATTAAAAGTAAACATTTTTTTCACGATTAACTTTTTAACGACTATCGGCAAAATTTTTTGTCCGTTTAAGTGGCGATCTCTGTAAGAGCGGTCCAGGGTATTTCGCATCGCAAAAAAAGTTTTCCTTCAAGCTTTGCTCCATAAACTATTTTTGGTAATAAGTAAATAGAGCTTTAAGACCACACCGATTAATACTTTAAACATTTTGAAAGGCCAAAATTTGACAAATTTTATTATCTCGTGACGAAAGACGTCAACACAAACGTATCTGTCGAATATCATAATTTGATTAGCGCTCGCAAACTCTTTTTTAAAAATTTGGCTTCTTTTATTTCATATTTGAGTTCTGACAGCTTACACTATTCAAACCTGTATGAACATTTCAAAACCAAACTACAGGATGCTATTTGGTGTAACTGGCGAAAACACCACACACTGAAATACACCGTAACCACTGTCACGTTATTCAATTGTGTAATTATCCTGAATTGCTTCTCCCTTCGTAATAAAGCAGCGATAACATCGCCTTTTGGATCAGAATTCTGGTCGGTAGGAATAAGACAAATTTTGTCTGCACACCTGTCTTTATGAAAGTTCCTATTCAGAACTCTAGAGAGTTCTTGTGGAAAAGGACCCCGCGGTTTTTGAGGAAATAAATTATTACGTTACGTGTCAACTCATTTTTCCAACAATTAGCTATATCTATGTTGTAAAGCGCGTAATTTTATTAGCTGTAATTCATATGTCTCTTTCAGTACTGGTTTGCTTGTGATTAATAACTCTAAATTCTTGAAGCGGTATTCGCAACAAGAAGTCCTGTTTTCAGTCGCGTTCCTCAGAAACCTCGTTCGGAGACTTACGAGGAGTTTCCGGTTTGTTTAACTTGCCTCAGAGTACTGACTCAATAGAGAGTAATCTCTGCTTAATCCATTTGTCAAAAGAGAGTGTCACAGAATGAGAGCTTATCTTTGCAAGGGCTGGCCTGTTCGATGAAGAAGACTCAGTCATGGCAAAATGTGGGTCTGCGCAAAGCATAGGCACACTTATGGGAAGTTCTGGCGCCAAAGTTCAGCATACCAGTATCTGACACACCCTGGTAGCAATTCCAAAGGGGTAAGGAGCCGGTATTCTGTCAATTTGATTGCAAATGTCAAAGGCCATTTCTATGATGTATGGGGTTCTGTAGAGGTTTAGAGAATAATGCAGCTGAGGGAGCGGATGGTTTCAAGGATTTTCTCCAAATTATAGACGAATTGGAACGCTTGGGAGCAGAAAACGATTGGTGTAAAGAAGTTGGCGAGAGGCTTCGGAAGAGCAAGTTGTATTTGAAGACTACATACCGTAATCATTGCAAAGAGGATGATAGCAAATGTGCCGATCACTGTAGGGTCTTTGCACTGAGCGATGCTGGTGACACTGACTTTCAGAAAATATGCAGTCACAGTCACAAAGTGAAGTGTGAGGATTGTGAGAAGCTGAAGAATGTTCTTGAAGAAGTAAAAGGCGCTATTTCTGAGTACACAATGCAACTGGGTATGTTTCAAGCGGAAGACGATCTGTATGAAGCAAAAAATGCTGCCGCTAAGATCTTTGAATGGAGAGGGCATATCCTTAGAGCAGAGAACCAGGATTGGTACAAGCGGCAAATTGTCGATACTTTGAAGAGAGATGAAACATTTATAATAGTTGACTGGACAATGAAGTTCATAGCGATGAAGTTCTGGGAAAAGCAAGTAGAATGATTTGAGACAGGAGGAAAGCCCGGAAGTAACCTGATACGTATACCTTCTTAACAGCTGAAAACAAGACTGGTTTTCAGTGCTGTCAGTCTTAGAAAATCTCTTTGCCACCATAAAGTTACAAAATTCAGGAATAATAAAGGCCTTTCTAAGATCGGATGAAGCAGGTTGCTATCACAACAGTAAGCTGGTATCATCTCTACGAGAGCTCGGATATCGCCTGGGAATCGAACTCGTGAGGTACGATCCGATTCTTAGCCACAGGCTGGAAAAAATATGTGTGACAGGAATCTGTGTCTGATAAAAGCGTCAATCAGGAGATACTGCAACGAAAGCCATAATGCTGTTTCTGCCAAAAGCATACATACCGCATTGAAAGAGAAACCGGTCAGGGGAACGACGGCGACAGTGTGCGTAGTCCAGGAAAAGAACTGAACCCTATAAATTAACAAGATTGCCAATTTCAGCAACTTACACAGCTCTGAGTTTACACAAGAGGGCCTGCACGTTTGGAGACCGTTTAATGTTGGGCCTGAAAAGTTTATTCAGTAAAATTAAAATTGCAATTTTTCCACAGAAAAAAGACGGATCTGGTGGAGGAGATTCCATTTTTCCTCACTACTGCTCGACGAATTGCATCAGCAGGAGAAAGCAATGATGGCAACGACGGTAGTTCCTATCAATGCTCTGAACCTGGTTTCGATGAAGATTTTAAGACACAGGCTGACTTTGACCTCCATATGAACTAGCTAGTTCATCATGTAAGTCCTATGCCTGCGAGCATGACTTAAAGTCTTTATGACAAAGTGAAGAGGTAGTGGGTTCATCACTCTCAGTCATTGTCATTAGAGGGTGAAAGTTCGACTGAACTGGTTGCAGTGGCCACAGAACCCTTGACAAGTGCTTCACAACTTCCCATGGGATGGGCTCTTCATAAGAGAGGAGCAAGTGAACGGCTTTAGCAAAACGTCAGGCAGTACTTGACACAGAAATTTAATATCGGATGAGACACTGGCAGAAACCAAACCCAGAAAAAGTAGCGAAGGATATGCGAACTGCTTGCACAATAGTTGGAGAGAGAATGTTTGATAGAACAGAGTGCTTATCCAACATACAGATTCAGGGTTTCTTCTCGAGATTGTGCCTTAAACAGCGATCTAAAATACAACAAGAATTGGATGATGCCACAGACGCAGACGACGAACACGACCACTTGATAGAGGCATCCGCGTCTGATGTAGACGAAGAGTGTTTGAGAGAGGCGGTGGTATTAATCGGTGTGGTCTTAAAGCTCTGTCCTACTATATTTTCTACTTAAAATGGTTAAAATCTAAGATTTGTTGAGCTACTTATATAAAACGGTCGGAGGTTGCTCAATGAACCAATTTGCATAATCGGCTGTCACGCTAGCAATACCGCTAAAAGTTTGAAGTCACCTCGGCGAAGAAAATCAATAAGTGCAAAATTTTTTAACATTTTTCTGCAGCCAAACATCTAATTAGCAGAAATCAAGCGGAGTTTTTAATGGTCTGGTCTGGAATTGAGCAATATCAACCAAGAAAGAAAGAGTACTTTTGACCAATTTCAGAAAGCTGTCCAAAGAGTGTTTTTAAATAAATTATGACGAGCCTCTGAGTAAACGAGTATCAAAATTGAAATGAATTCTATACACCTTATATATCACACAGTTTAAGAATACAAAATGTTTTTTGCTGCATGCGGTGTGATACGAGGACCGGGCTATTCAACTTTTGAAATTTCGATGTCGCAAGAGGTCAAAAAAGCGCCTTTTGCAGCTTTGACTTTTGAGAGTGTGGTTTTATTTACTTGTTACCAAAGATGGTTTATTGGGCAAAGCTTGAGGGAAAACTTTTTTCCGATGCGAAATACCCTGGACCGCTCTTACAGAGATCGCCACTTAACAGCAAACGGTGAAAACTATTGAGGCGTCCTTTCACGTAGACGACAATAAAGGCAAATTAACACAAACCAGGTGGTATTTTTTGTCGCGAAATGTTCATTTTTTCGCTCTGAGACTCAGAACACGGTGAACCCTAAAATTATTTATTTACTGAGCGGGAAAAAAGGGGAAAAAATTAGATAATTGAAAGCACAGACAGCAACAGTAGACAGCAACAGTTTTTGGTTATGAGTTTTGCTCTTGTGCAATGAACTGCACTGTCATAATTAGTATTTCAAGAAGTTTTATTCTCATTTAAATCTGAGCAATTTTTTTTGTTACAGTCTATAGTTTTTTTCACGCGAACTGATCCGCCCTCTTATTTTTCCCCGATTTTTACGCCGGATTTCGGGCTGTTACAAAGATGAGCTGTTTTCCTCGCCACAGAAACACAATCTATGTATTTACTCAAAGTTAACAAAGTTGTCTTTTATGATTATTGCTAGATTTTGAAACTATGTTTTACAGAATTATTGGTTGCAAGACAAATCCTTGCATGTCTTCCCATGCTTATTCTTTTCCCTCATGCTTCTCTTGAGTCTTGACTCTTGCTTGTCCTGTTCGTCTCTTACCCTACCTTGCCCTCAATCTCAGCACAGAGAAACATGATATCCTCTCCATTGAAAAGTTGAACTTTCGCCTTGCAGATTCGATTCTAATTGATTGAAGAATAAAATGAAGGTAGAATGACTACATTAACGTAGAATGTAAACCTATGCATTGATTTAACCCTTTACACCCAAACATCAGTATGCATATTCTCCATACCATTCTCTATACATTTCCTGAACCGCTGACAAAAAGAAAATTTGTTTTAAATTAAGAGCCATATAAGTTGGTGATCATTTCCTTGATTCTCGTGACCATAATGATTGATTCAGGGGTGATATTTTATGGAGAAACTAGAAGCTGGTCACTCTTACGGGTTAAAGGGTTAAGGCCCTCTTTTATTTCCAGGAAAGAACAAATCAAACTTTGCACAGCTTGATAAAAATCGTCATAATGATAACGAGAATGATCAACACCATCATCCGTCATGATTGCTCTTGCGTCGATGTATGGCCGTGTGGGGCCAACAGGAGAATTTGGTTTTATCAAGTGAGTTGACAACGTAAACTGGCCAGCATAAAGATTTTTTAAAGTTGACGTCTCAATCGTTAGCCCTGAGTCAGAATGAAAGGCTAACTCTTTAGAAACTCTTTACAGTGGCTCATTTACATTTTAACTCAGTCGATAAAACCAAAATATCGGGAAATCTTTGGTCCTGGATGCTGGTTAACGAATTTTATATCCTTGTAAAAGCTAATTTTTTAGCCAATAGGAAGAGTGCTTACAACAGAGTTCGTCGAAAAAATGTAAGTACATGCGCTTTTGAGGAAGATGTATAAACACCATATAGGAAAGGAAAACTTCACCGTTATTGTTGTCAAGCAGGAAAAAACCAAGGGAGAGAAAAAAGAGTGAAATGAAGCCGGGGCTATCAGATAGAAATCACACGTACTAAAACCCGTGAGCTGACAGGGCTGGGCTAATTTATCGATTACCTTTAAAAATTGAGGAATTACGGGCAATTCTCCAGATGCAGCCAACACTATGGTTTCTAGAAGACAAAAAAATTACAAAGAAATCAACAACGGTTATTTAAAATATGAATCACCGTGCACCAAGAGCAATATATAGATTGATAATCAATCACTGAGGATGGATTGCCTGATTTCTCATTGCTATATTTTTTTTGCTTTGTTTTTCATTCGAAGCTGCCTGTTAGAGATGGTCAAGAAAGAACTTTGGAAAGATCATCGTTCTTATTTCTAAAACATGTCTCGATGTATTTCACACAGTCAGTTGAAAAACTGTTTGGAAAAAGAAACTGTTTGAATTTATACTAATCATGGGAGATATGTATAATTACATCACGGGATTAATATATGAAAAACAGGAACTAAGTGTAAACAACTATTTAAGGAAAATGTGAGGTTGGCATTCGTTGACTTTTTCATTCAGGTGGTTTTTCTTGTGGTTTTATCTCTCATCGGTTTGGTTACTACGCAAATATTAATAGGTGAAAATCAGATTATATAAAGACTTGAAACTCTATTAAGAACGATTGTGGCCGCTTCGTTAAAAATCAAATTCAATGGCCGCTTTATTTAAAACAAAAGATATCAAGAAATGGGCTAGGAATATTTCACAATGGTGCAAATGATCGTGAAAGATCATTGCTGCTAGAGCAACATTTGATGCCTGATTATCCCCACCCAGCCCACCTTCCGCCCCACAAACACACACACACGCGCGCAAACAAAATGGACACTGTCTGCCTGATGACCTCTGACTATCCCACCTCCAGCCCACACAACCTTTTTCCAATTCCCATCACGACGAATGTACAAGTTTTCTTATCACACAACTGTCCAATAATAAAAGGAAATTTATTTCAAAAGTCTTGAAAGTTCACATAAACCGAATTTAACTGTACCTAAATTCAGCAAGTCCAAGAAAACAATGCAAACTTAAGCCATAACATGAATGAGCTAGCTCCAAGAGCCCTTTGATGTACCTCCTAACTCTCTCTTTGGAAGTCGACTTACCACCAGCAGGTAAGCTGCACAAGTATGGGTGCGCATGGCACACACTGTCGAGTCTGTTCCAAACAATAACCTTGCCGTTGGAGACCACTTCGTATTGCATGGATGCTTCAAGAACATCTACCGCTATTAGAAAAAAGCACTAGTTAGAACGTGGCACAGATCTTAGTGTAATGAAAAAGTAATATCTGTTGTGCATCAAGGGAAGTTGGAGGGGGAAGATTTTGATCGAACCCGTTAAGTTTAGACAGCAGTCATAAAAAAGTTTAAAAAATACGAAAAAGAGAGAATTATTTGTGATTAGAGTTAACAACTTTAAGCACTGCAGGATACATAATTGAAAATCATTTCAGTACACACTGGGGATATACGCTGACTTGAAATCTCATTTCCCGAGGCCTTCAATTCCGAAGTTTCGGAGAACCTCTAACTTCCAGTCGTACTCAAAATCCTCTCGTAACCTCGATTCTCAAATCCTGGTTACGAGCCGTGGAATTTCATAAGCCCCTTCTTCTGGTTTTGTAACAATATCACTTTTGATTGGAAATCAATAAAAAATATTAACATCTCCATGTCAACTTCAACTTACCAGGTGCAAATGTTACATTCAAATTAATATGAGTTCCAGCAGGAAAGAAAGGCCATGGAGAAACTGTAAACGTTGGAGGCTTATCGTACTTTCCTGAAAAGAATGTAAAAATGGAGTATCACCTTGGGCTACAGAAAAACAAAATTAGTTTCCAATTGAGTCTTTTGCTGATAACCAGTTGAGGACATTCATTGGCCCCTATATTTCTAACTTACTTCCAGGCCCCAAGTAAAGCTTAGATACAAAGGAATGTAGGGAAAATTAAATTATGACCGTTTTTGCGACAAGCGAATACTCTTATCCTCAGCTGCATTTCACTTAAACAGCCGGTGGAAAATAATGGAGATGGAGAAATGGACCCCGGAAATCAGATAATTGGGAAAGTAGTAAGTCTGTTGTTAAAAAGAAAATTAACAATTCTTTTTTTTTTTTTTTTTTTTCTGGGAGGAACTCTCGACTTTCATTCCTCATGCCATTTCTGCTAACATTCTGTAATTTTTGCTAAGCAGTTTTAGGCTAAATTTAGATAGAATAACTTACCACAGACTGTCACATTAATAACTTCAAGTCCCAAGCGATATCCCCATGTTCCACTGATAACAAAAGCTAACATACCCAGGCAGATAGTTTGTGTCGGTTGTCGGGTCAAAATCATCATTGTCTTCCAAACTGACAGCTGGGAGAAAAAACGATATAAATTAAAGGAATTTACTTTGGATTTAACGCGGCTTTTTATAATGAGACTTTGATGAACTCTTTAAGACACTGTTCCAAAAAGAGTGATTTTTCTTTATTATTCGTGCCAAATTAAAAAAACAAACAAACAAACAAACAAAAACAAATTAATATGCGAATAAGTCGTGGATACATTACTTTTAAATAGGTTCTGAATGTAATAAAATTATCCTTTACAAAAACATATAATTTTTCGTGTAAAAATAGGCAGCCGATGGGTAACTCTCGGATAGAGTTGAAACTACTTGGAGTTACTTTAAATTGCTGGGGTGATGTTGGGTTAATAGTCAGAATTTACCATTTTGGCTATCGTTTGACCTGCATCATTCCTTAAACTTCACCTTTTGTCATAAAAGCGTATAGTATAGCAGATTTCTAGCGTAAACTTTGTATAAATGCGCCGCAGGTTATAACAAAAGATACTCGCTCCATTCCTTCCGGCATTCTTTTCGAATAAGATTCCATTGCATAGCGATTGAATCCAGACAAAATTGAAAATGATCGACTGGCTGGTTGGCTATCATTTTAGGTTCCCTCGTGAACAATAACCTTTTTTTTGTGTGTTATTTTTGCGCTGCTGTCTACCCCACCGCTGTATTTAAAAGGAGATCTTGGGAAGGGGAATGGGGAGGAGCCCCAACAATAGTCGTTTCTACGCTTCACGCTTTCACGATTAAAAGGGGATCAACCCATCGTCTGGTGAAATAATTTATTTACACAATCATCTGATTTTAGGTCAACTGCAGTATATTTATTGTATTTTGTTTTACACTTTTTTAGAGAGATGTAGGCACTATTTGAATTTGTTTATTTGCAACTTTTTTAATGTATAAAAGATGTTTATACTGATTGTGTTACTCTTCTATCTTGACTTCTGAGTTCCCTCTTACATATTTTAATGTAATGGACAGGTTTTGTTCTGTACTTATTATCAGCTCGAGTTTTACCACAATAAATAGATGGAAATGAAAGGAATTCAGAGTCTTTGTCGATAATTATACCGAAAGGTTTGTTTCCCTCTACTGGTGCAAAAGTTATTATATTTTCAACATTTTCAGTCATATCTGGTCCTTGTAACAGAGTATATGTAACACCTGAAGTTCTCTCCTCAATTTCACATCATTCATCATTACCATTGTCTTTACAGTCTGTGAGTAATTGTTCGGTGTAATTATAATGTCTTTTAGTAGCTTCAGAAATAGTAATTTTAGGTACAGGATCAGTTGAATGTATTTCAGCATCACCAGTGCTTGAGTGTGAATTACTGAGGAATTCTTTCCGTATATTATTTTGATTTGCAATAGCATCATTGGCTCTAGTATCACGATTATCAAGCCAATTTTCCTGAACCTCTCTATGCCCATTGTAAAACAATTCACTTGTCTTAACTAGGTATTTTGCCGCTTTCAACATTTTTCTTGGTGGAACACTCTCAAATTGATGATGATGCTTGTAACTCAACCTTTTGTTCTGCTTGGCCACAAAAGGGTTTTGGTTGGATATTATTAACTGATCATTTGTGCTACTGATGTTTTTAATTGCTTTGTTTAAACCTACGTTTGATTCATGTTATAGCTGCTATGAGTGCTCATAGGTTCCCTCACAAGTTCGATCAAAGATTCGCTCGTAAGATTCACTCTTAAAAGGCTCCTTATTTATAAACCCCCTGTTAGCGTGGAGGATCGACGAGCAAACGTCTAAAGGAGTCAAAGACTTTTCGCATTCAGCTTCTACACCCACAGTTACCTTTAGTCTCTAAAACAGCTTTGACTCGCTTACACATGAGCTAACTGCGACGAGTATCAATCAAAACTTCCTCGAAGTCGAATTATATTTCAAAGTCGCGGCAGTCACTTCGGAAAGTCGAGAGACGCTTCCGGTACTATTCCGGAAAATCGATATCAATCGGTTTGCCGTTGACATATCGATTTTTTTACATCTGTGTGAGTGACTAATTTGCTAATTCTTGCCTCTAAGAATAGTCGTTTTTACGCTTCGCGTATCCACGACTAAAAAAGAACCGACGGTAGGATTAACGAATTCGATATCACCGGTCTTTTGCTGAGAATCTTTCAGCGCTCCGTTGATAGTACCTTACCATATAAATAGTTTTATTCCAACCACGAAAATTATTAGAGATGCCGAAAATATGGGAAAAATATGTTTTAACGTCCTCATTTTCCAACCAAAACCTCAGTCCTTCTAGGGGGAGAAATTATGAAAATTTTTGGAACAACTTAGGCGCTACGAGAGCTATCCCTGTTGGTCAAAAACCTTTAGTGTTTATTTCACCGGTGAACCCATAGAAAGAAGAAACATTTCATTTTGATAGCTTACCGGCGTAATAACCAACGCGGACGTTGGGAGCATATTCCAAATCGCAGTTTGTTTCTCTTATTTTCCCGACATCTCTCGAAGGTTATCACGCCGGTACGCTGATAGACAGCGCGGTCTATTGCCTTAATGAGAGAGTGTAACATATCCATCATGAAAAATGCAAAATTTGAGTTGATCAATCCTTGCTTTAATTTTAAGTCATCGTTACGACTCAGTGGATTTTTTAAATTATCCCAGATTCTAAAAGGTGATAGTTACGCCAGTTGACACTTGTACGAAAGCTATTGAGCAGTTCCCAGAGGTGGAGTTTCTAATTGCCAAGAATTAACAGCTTTCAGCCAGTGCAGAGAATTGCGGTTGTTTTGATCTATCACTTTCTGGTGCCCTTTCAGTCGAGAGACTGCATTTCGTCGTGCCAGTGTATTATAGCTCTTGTCACAATTTTTGTAAGGAACTTACAAGGCAAACGAGTCTGACTAGATCTCTCCGTTTTTGAAGCTGCAGCTACTTAAAGTAACAAGAATGGAACGGATCTTTATAACGGTGGTGAAATAAGCTTTCTATTCAATCAAATATTTTGTCCATTCATGATTTATCGGGTATTTTGGAGAAATATTTACGATCTTCGTCTGAGCTGTTGAAATATGTACCCCATTATCAATTGTGAACTTTGATAAGGCGAAATTCGACTGAATGAAGTAGTAAGAAGGAAGCAGGGCATACCTTGTATACTCTACTAAATACAAAAAACCAAAATGAGCAAATAAAAGACGTTCTTCCCTGATTGTTAGCCTGGGTATGTTCTGAGCATGTTCTCAAAGTTTTTGCTAATCTCAGCCTGATTATGATTTTTTTTAATAAAAAAGATTCTTATGGGAAAGAAGCCTACGTGCATGCATCTATAACCAAACCTTTGCAAATATCATTAGCATTATATTATATTGACAAGATTCGTAACTTACCGAGAGGGATGGACTTTCAATTCTGGGTGCAAATTGCCTCAAATGTTTTGAAAACGTAATATTCCACTAAAGGTTGAAATTTTCCGCTCGCATTTGTTGACTTTGCTTCGAATCTTCCTTATCACCGATCGTAATGAGGAGAATATATCGCCGGTTCAAGTACCAATTGTCAACGGCTCGAAACTATTGTGACATAAACCTAACCGAAGTAAGGGCAGCGACCAGTGACGAAGTCATAAACAGGAAGTAATGTTTCACCAACCAGTGCTATGAGCAGTGCTAAAGAAGTGTAAAAAAAAATAGAGCTAATGTTTCTAATCTGTATAAATTATTTTTGCTAGTCTTGAATCAAGACACCTCGTGTATCTTCCATAGCATGTGCGGTTTTGAGAAAAATCGAATTTGAGAGTACTTGATAATATGCACTAACGCGTGTTCATAATATTAATATTAATTAATAATATTAATGCTTCAGAATTTCGAAACTTCTTCTGGCCTTTCGTTTCGTAACTTGTTCCCGTGCAAGAAATAAATTTAATGTTTATTCTAAAGGCAGAGTGCATGACCAGTTTAATATGGCCATATCTGTATTGTCTTCTTATTTCCTTATCTCATTTTATACTTTGAGGTTCCTTAGCGTTTATGAACTTTTGTAATTAGCAGATCGAAACCAGTGACTGTTTTTAAATATTATGCATTAACACGTACTCATAATTAATATTGATGTTTCAGAGGTTCGAAACTTCTTGTTTCCGTTGATTTATGTGCCTTTGTCAGCGGCAAATTAATTAATAATTAATAATTAATATTGATGTTTCAGAGGTTCGAAACTTCTTGTTTCCGTTGATTTATGTGCCTTTGTCAGCGGCTAAATTTGTGTTTCAAGCTCATAGTGAGAATGCTTAACTGATATTTAGTAGGCACGCAAAGTAATCTACGTTGCTTTTGAGCGACAGATAACGGTTTTGAATAAGTCTTTGTTTGTTAGTTATCTTGAAATCAGAATATTACAATTTGCGTTTTGAGCAAATTGCTCTTGCCACGGTAACGATGTTTACAGGTGTGATACAAGTCATCTTGGTCTTGGGGTTTGTAACAGCTTGTGAAAGTGACGTTTGCAGCCAAAAAATCTGTCAATGTACGAAGTTCGGTAGGACTCACGCCGTGATGAAGGTAATATGTCGAGGTCTTGGATACGTATCGGCCGGAATCCCAAGCAATACAACAGAACTGTAAGTGATAATAAAAGAAACTTAGCCATCCTTCGTCCTGCAGGGCCTGTTATCGTCTCCTTTGTGTTCATATTTGTTACATAGGTAATAGTTGTTAGACACATCCTGGACGATGGTAGCTTTCAATATTGCAGACTTGGACGAAGGTAGTTTTAAATGTTGCAGACTTGTTAAGGAGTCTTGGTCAGTCCCAAGACAAAAACAAAAAGAAAAGATGATTTCCGAACGAACCACAGGTGGACCAAGTTCACGTCTCGAGAAAAAGCAAACGATTGATTCATGAAAGCATCACTTATTGTCTGACTCGGTGTTAATTTACGAGAGGAACCGTTAAGGATTTGAACACGTTATAAGGAATAACATGGGGTACGAAATATGGTCGATTTACAACGATAAATATTTCGAAATATGAACATTTTACACGTAAAATCAATAAAAATTACTCACATCCTGTGAGTCCGCTGTGGTTTCTGGCGATTTCTGCCGTTTCAAGCGTGTTTTCCCCTCACTGTTATTCCTGTCCAAACGAAAAAGGAAAAAGGAAAACCACACGCATGATTTGAAATTAATCATGAGAAAAGTCATACAGACTGCAAAACCCCAATTTAAATTAAAATACTTTTAATGCTGATTTATTCCTCTCCAACCTTACCTCCTCTAGAATTCAAATTTATGTTCATTACCATTTATACTTACAGTTTGATTTTTACCCAGAGATCTTTCAAGTTGTTCGTTGAGCTCAATTACAGAAGACATCTTTAAGAACCTGACCGTTTTAGAGAAATTGTAAGTTGCAAATAAAAAAAAACTGTAAGTTTCGTTCATGAGAAATTCGTATTGGATCGAAAAGATGTGTCTTTAGTAGCTAATCTTATTGTGTCTGTATTTGAGGATAGTCTGATGACTGATGAGACAATTCGCACAGTCCAGGAAAACCTCTTTAAACTAAAGGAAACAGCGGTCAACACACTGCATCTATTTGAAATATTCAGAAGAAAAATTTATCAAGGTTGTGAACAAGTCTGAAAATGGTCTTGAGATTTCCCGAACCATCTACAAACGCAAACAAATCAAAAAGTTAACTATCTGATTACAAGTTATATCTGAGTACTCACTGATGGTTCAATAGCTGACTTACTATCTATGAACTGGTAGATTTCGATCATTAGGATACTAATATCGTCCTTCCGAATGATGAAGAAAACAAAAAAGGGCAAGTAATCTTATGTAAGGGGAACGTTTGTCTTTTTTGGAAAATTTTTGCCAGTTTTTCGAGAATCAATTTTTAATGAATTCTCTCTCTTTTTCTAGGGACTTATCAAATAATTCACTGCGACACATTCCTCAAAACACTTTCTGCAATATGGAGAAACTAAAAATAATGTAAGGGAATTCCCAATGATTTAATTTATACAATTTGAAAAATGTGGTTGGAAAGAAAACGAGTGGAAAAGTATTTCCCATTCTTTTCTTCATTGTCGTCTCGTTAGGCTGATGAAAATCACTACCCTTGTAGATCTTCGTTAGCTTTGTTATGATAAACAACTTTGATTTTTCCTGCCTTCATTTCATGACACTTGTTATCGTTTCTTCTCAGATATCTTTCAAAGAACTCAATTTCAGGGAGTTTTTACCTTCCGGAAAACGTTTATCATCTGTGAGTTATATTTTATGAAGTGCTTCTCAAAGCTGTTTGCCACAGAATTAAAGTACATCTAGGTTTACTTCTAATATATTGCTTAAAGCTTCTATTCTCCAAACATTATGAATAAAAGGATGATGAGCTGCCTACATTGGTTTTTAGTTTCCTTTCCGTTGTCCTATTTAAAAAAAAAAGGTGGATAGATATATAGATGCATGAAACAGCGTGGTATAAATGAGG